CAAATATAATTCGTCGCATCATAGATTGCTTCAACATATGATGACCGCTCCTCGTTGTATTCGTCCCTAGAAAAGGGGATAATGTCACGAACATACGCATGTAAGCCAATAATTACATATATAAATAGGTAGAAGTAAGTAAAAGTAGGTTAATTCTATAATATTTACTATGGAAGCTTCTTAGAAGCTTTATAGACACTGCTTTGACTTCATAGGTGTCTTTAATTGAATTTTTGGATTAGAAACGTGATCAACAAGTTGGCCATGTACCACACATGTTGTTAACTTGAAGACCAAGCTAACTATGTGGCCTACATGTAGAAGAACTTGGCTTTGTAAGTCAAGGCATGTGTCCTACAAAGTCAACACATATTGGAGGTCCTATAGAACATCGCCATGTAGCCCCTAGTTAGATAGTATATATAGAAACAAGAGTGAAGCCTTCTTCACTCTTGTCAACTCCTTTCTTGCTTCTAATTTAGTTTCAAGGGTCTCTAGTTTTCTTGTCTTTTGGCAATAGCCATTCCAGGTTCTTTCTTAATATACACATTGAATTATTTCTATTTTGTCATCTTTCTTTGAGAGAAGTCTGACTTATTTATTTTTGTTTATCATGTTCTTGTCCTTGACAATAGATGATAGTTGATTATATCTCTTATCATAAAAATATGATTTTTATTTCTACTACCTTTTTTTAATCACTTTTTTTAATTATAGCTCTAAATAATTTCAAAAATGAATTTTGATCATATAAGAGTTGTGAATCTTTTTTCATCAAAGGTACAAATTAAGAAAGAGTACTTTCAAATAAAAGTGCATCTATATATCTAACTTGAATAAGTCCATTAGAATATTAAAAAAGATATAATCTTAAATAAAGCTTATCTTATTGTAAAATATTCAAAATTAATTTTTTTTTCTATTAGCCTTGTTTGACATAGTAATCTTTAACTTTATACTTATAATAGTAAGATTTTTTAGATTTATTTGTAAAGTTGATTTTCTTGCTTATCTTAATTTGACAACTTCTTGCCATAGACATTTGACTTCATAGTTAAATTTTTTTTTATAGGCTCAGAAGTAATACTTTTCAAATTGACATTAATAATTTGTAAAATTTTTCTCTAAAAATATTAAGAAGCTCATAAAGATCTATAATAGTTACAAATTTATTTTCACTTCTATTAAATATAACATCTATAATTTTTCTTTGATTTCTATAATATACAACTTTAAAAAACTGATAAGTCAAATTAGAAAAAGGAAATTTGTAACCTCTAATATCAAATGAAAATTTCCACAAGAAAAGATAGTTTACTTTCTTTAAAAAAATAATTAATATTAATTTTTAGATTTTTTTTTTTTAAAGTAGATAGTTTGCAACAACAAGAAATAAAATAATCTATTCACTTCTAAAGAAAAGCATATATAAAAAATTAATATTCTTATCAATTTATTAAAAACATAAATCATAACAAAATTCTAAAGAAAAAATATTCTCATGTGTCATTTGAAGAGAAAAAGTAAATAAATCAAAGATAGACATGAGATAGAAATTAAAATGGTTATTATTAGATACAATGAGATCAAAATTCTTAAATTGAAATAAGAATACAACAAAAGCATTGATAAGAATAACAAAGGTCTTATTCTTATTTCTATTTATAGTATCTAATTAAAGAGCTAGATAACAATATTCTATAGATCATTTAATATGTGTCCAACTTGTAACATACACATCTAACTTACAAGGCAAGTTTTTAACATTTGCACCGTATGGCCAATTTGTAAAACAATTGTTAACATATATAATATGTGGCCAACTTATTGGTCAAGTTTTTAATATTAAAATTACCTATAAATATATGTAAAGTCAAATCTGAATCTTTAGAGCTGCTAAGAAGATTTTCTATCAAAAAATATCAAAGTTACCTACTTTTAGATCTACTTGACTTCTCTTATCCAAATAATTATTAGTATTAATATATATGATTATGATAGTATGGTGCAAATTGGCGTGATCATGTTAAATCCATTGCATAGGCTTAAAATATATGTTATATAATTTTGAATCATTTATATTTATATATATATATATATATATATATATATATATTAAAATAATAGTCTAAATAAGACATTTTTCAATCACAAAATATACATATACTTATATAAGCTACTAATTTTATTGTCATAGTATAAAGATGTCTATATGTTTTTATTTTTTAATTTTTTTTTGTTATATCTTACAAACTTAGAACTTATACAACAAGTCATTTATACCATTAGAATTGTAGACAACAAAACTAAATAGATAGATCAAGTCAAAATCAAAAAGTTAAAAGATCAAAAAACTAAGCACAACAAAATAATCTTAAATTCTAAATCTTGAACTCTAAATCTTGAGAAGACTCTTCCAACTTATAAAGTCTTCCAAATCATAAATAAACACTTAAATCATTAAATAAACTTCTTCATCTTAATATCTTTATATCTAAATAATATTATTTTTATTTTTTTAACAATTCTACTAATTTAGATATATTCATGGAATTCACAATAAGTCAAGTAAAAATTAAAAAATAAAGATATAAAAAAACTTATATATATATATATATATATATATATATATATATATATCCAATTCTAAATTATATATTCATATACTTCTTATGCCAACAATAAAAATCCTAAAATTAAAGTCAAAACGGCTATAACTTCCAAAGTTGATTAATTAATTAGTTGGTTTTATAGGAATTCTTTTAGATATATTAAAAATAACTTAAAATTTTATTCATTAAAAAATAATATTCTTACTTAAATTAGATTATAGATTTTATTTATTTATTATAAAGTTTTTTTTAAAAAAAATACAAAGATTACAAAAGAGATTATTTAAAAAAAATTAAAAATTATTTTTAATTGAAATCCACTTTGTCTTAATAAATAAATAAATATCTTAAATAATTTTTTGTAATCTTGTTCTATTAAGTAAATTTCTAAATAAAACCATTTATATTATTTCATAAAATTTGATGGCTTAATATTCCTAAAGAGAAGCAATGATTATAAAAATATTTGAAGTTTATACACTCATCATATAATATAAGTTTTTTACAAGACCAAAAGCTCTAGTATGTTGATATAATAGAATCAAAATACATCATGTGGAAAATAAACACATTGTTATATTTATGAAGGGTCATCCAAATACTTACAAGTTGAAGATATTGGCAAAAGAAGGATATGCATATTGATAAGTTCATTTTTCAAATATATATTTTTATATGTTAAATTTCTTGTAGATAATACAATCTTATGGATAATATTCAATTCTATTTTAATTCAATCTTTTTGAATTCAATCATTTCTTAGAGTAATAAAACAAACAAAAGAAAGTTGTTATAAAACATGATACAAAATTTTCTTATAAAAACCAATAGAAGGTTTTTGGGAGGAAACTAAAGTGGAATAATTATATATATATATATATATATATATATATATATATAATTTTAATTACAATAATATTTGTCTATATTTTAAAAAATAATTATGAATAAGTTTGGAAGAACATTTGGATCTATTTAAGATAGAATCACAAAATAAATATAAAAGACAAGAAGATTATATTATAAAATTTAACCAAAAACAAAAAATAAAAAATAAATGAAAATTAAAAAAACTCCAAAAGATAATACATGCTTTACAAATTTTGTTAATGTAATAAAAAAATATTACCAAATCTAATTGTTTGCCAAAACAATGAGCTCAAAGTAAGCAAAAGTGATAACTAAGAAATGACAAGGGTTGTAAAAATAATTTGTTACAAAATTATATTGCAGGATTAATATAACAAAAGAGTCATTGTTTAAATATTGTAAAGTTTTATCATCCGCATAATATTGTTCAGAAGAAAAAAAAATATTGATTAAAGACCTTCTTAAAAAAGATTCTACAAGAATATTAAAGATTTAGAAATTAAAAAACTCTTATGTTTTAATAAAATTAGAAAATATCTATATTTTAAATCTTTCAAAATGTAGTAAAAAAGATTATATCAAATCAATCAAAGTAGTGTAGTTTAGAATACTTTCTTAAGAATCTTAAAAGGTCTATAAAAACTAGCAAAGAATTTTTCATGAATCTAAAAGAATACAATATTCTTCTTTGCAACTATGCTCAATAGAGACCTCAATCTTTATAATTCCAAAATAACCTTAGACACATTATTTGTATTCTTGTTGCCTAGAATATTTAAAACAAAGTAGTTTAATTTTTAACTTTTATGTATTTAGGAGCAAAATAATACAACCAATCAAAGGAAATATTACATGTCATCTTTATCTACAATAGATAATCAAGCATATTACTACTAATAGAATCAAAAAAAATTGTAGAAAAAATATAATTTAAAATAAATAAATAAATAAATAAATGCAACTTAAATTTTAAATTTAAAACTCATGTTCAAATTTATTTCATTTTAAAGCATCATGTGGAAAACAAAATTGTATAAAATAACCCAAAAATATCATAAAATGATGTCTTTTAGTTTTATATTACAAAATTTAGAGTGATTGAGAATATTTTTTGGTAAAGAATGAGAGTCCAAAAAAATTGAACATTTCACCATAAGAAAATAAGTTAAATAATATAGAAACATGGCAATATGTGGCTAACTTTTACCTTATTATTTTAAACAATATACAATAGGATAAAAGACCCGTTTTCTATCTTCAATAATAAATACCAAAACTCCTATTTAATTTACAAAGACATGTCAACCAAGAAAAGATCCATACTTAAAACTTTTGAATGCCTTTTACCAGACATTCACAATAATAGCCTCCAAACATTTTATTTTCCATAACACAATTACTTGATGGCAAGAGTCACACAAAACAACGCCCACAAATTTGTTTTCTTCTACCCAATCATCTCCTTGGAATTCCATCCTCTGATTTTTTTTAGACGGATATAGGCAACCTCGGTAAATAAAATGCCAAATGTGAAAGAGTACTAGTTTGAATAAATGCAGTTATTGCATAGAATAATTTTGTTGAATGCAAGCCCAATTAACTTTTTCTTAGTGACCTTGTCAGAAACAAAAAATTGAAAACTAAAAATAAAAATTATCATACACTAATGCCATCTGATGCATCCTGGTTCAAATCGAATACGAAAGAAATTCTAGAACTAAGACTTGCAAGTGAACACAACCTATAAAGGCTTACATTCTACCTTGGTACCGCCTGCATGACGGTGCGCTCAAAACTAAAGACTACCTGACAGTGCCACCTGTAGTTCATTTGTGGCTTGCAGAAGTGTCAACATTCCCAACGGAATCAATAATTTCTGTAAGCATTTTCATCAATGCATTCAAACCACTCAAGAAATTATCATCTATTTCGTTCTTGTCGTAAACAACATGAGCAAAATCAACGAGTCTGACCGATACAGTTTGCGTCCTCGAAGGTTTGCCCTCGTAAACTATCAACACAGACGCCGAATGGAAGTGATAACTTTTTTGTTCCTCAAACCTGGAAAATCAAAGTTACATGTGAGTTCATTGAAGTATATTCACATAAAACAATTTGTCGAGACTTTCACAACATTACATGAGCACAATCGGACATCAAATATCCCATCGCCCGTGGGTTCAACCAAATATCCGCCTATTTTTAGACAAACATCAAGAGAAATTGACACACACCTACTGAAACATGTTACAATCGATGAACTAATCGACGGTAGGCAACCGTTACCAGCTAGCTCAACAAAACACAACAATTCGTACACGTAAAGCAAAGGTTGAACAAGCGTTTCGATCCAGAAGTACCAGGACTTAAGCTTTTGAAGTTCTGTAAGGGTAGCACCATAGACAGCTTTACAAAATGCCCCATCATATTCCTTCTCTGCAGAAGGATTAGAGGAAGCAAAACGAACGAGAGCCTCTGAAACAGCTTCCGTCTTAATATATTTACACCAGTCCCGACCGGCTTTCCATGCTTCTCCTTTGTTGGCTTCGTAAACCTTAACACAAACCAAGCACTTCTAGATCAACCCTATGCACCAGCCTTTTTTACCAAGAACTGCAGATACACCAAAGCTCTTTGACATATGTACCCTAATTATGCAGCATTATGACATGAGGCAAGAAAAGTAGGAGTAATAGAAACATGAATTCTAACTTATGTGTCCAAACACATTGCAGGTTAAAGTCCTGCTAAAACGTCCTTGTGCAACGCGTAAGAACATGAAATAATTATTATGGTGACTAAGCAATTATGAAGATTTCATGTTGTATCGGATTGGTTGCAGAAAGAATTAAGTTGGCAGCACTCTTCACTTATGATCAATCACCTCAACTATGTAAATGTACCAGTGTCATCTGAAGTGATGCAAAAGTCTGTTATACATCAACATCAAACATGATGTTAACAGGGGCATCGAAATATTCTCATTTGGAACGCACCATCATTCCGGAAACACGAATACCCAAAGCTGCGGAAGTTGTCTCCTGGTCCTTCAGTCTGATTTAGGTCCCACAAATGACAACACAAGAAGGTTGCGGAGCATGAGAAACTCGAGTTAAATCACAGCTTGAGTTGAGAATTCAAAACAACGAGCACAACTTGCGCCCGATCACACAAACCATGCTGAAATCGGTGGAAGACATATACTAAAAAGGCATGAAATAATAAGGTGCCAATTAGGTGGGTTTGATACTCTATACTGGGAAGGTGCACGCGACATGTACATAGAAGGCATGTCTTACTCATCCGAGATTCGTCACTAATGCTAACATGAACATGACTTAATCACATCCATGACTTTTTTAAAAATTACGTGACGAAAACCCCAACAGATTTTGCATGCTTCACAGAATAACTCCAAACAGAAAACAAAGACCAAATGGAAGAAGAATTCCCTATAGCCGGCCAATCTACTGGGTGATTATCAGTCTGACATTAATAGAAGTAAGAAAGGGAAACAAGACTGGATTTTCCTGGAGTACATACTTGCATTTCTCGACATACTTGGGGCCTGCCTCAAGATACCAAGTGCGGAATCCTATCTGTGTTAAGAAAATGAACTAAATTAGTTGCAGATGCTGACAGAATGACTCGTAAAGCAAGTTGGAAGCAGACAAGAATATGAAAGGCTTGTATAAACGACCCATACGTCCAAGAACATTGAGTTAGTAGAGAGCAAACCGGTCTTCGGATCGACTCATAGTATCGACATTAACAAGGCTAAGATCGCTGGAACGCCTATACTATTACAGAGAGTAATATCCGCTGATGCTTACTAGTATGTTCACAACAGACTTCACAAACCTATTAATCCAAGTTTCATACATCAAATGATTTGAGCCACGTACCTTCACGTCCATTACTGATGGATGCTGAAACCCATTTGTCAAATTCTCCATTACAGCATGCCGTGAGTCCACGAGTTAAGATTTCCCACATCAATCGGGATAAACGGTGACAAACATGTAACAAGGAACCCAAAGACAATCAAAGTATGCAGGTTTTAAAGCAACAATTACTAGTAAAAAAAAAATTTAAGGATATTGACTAAACCACCGCCATTTGGAGTGTCGATCTCTATAGTACCAAAAAAATTCGGGAAGAAACTTTTAACAGATGAAGGAACATTCACGTCCGAATGGAATCTTTTGAAAAAATTCACTTCCTTGTCACCTCTGGCACCAGTTTGCAAAGGCTTGTAAAATCGACCGGAATCATCGATTAAGGAACCAACTCGCCCCTCTACATGTGAAAAAGAGCCAGCTTGCAGTGTTAATGCATACAACGATTCAACAGACATGATTGTTTGAGACAATTTCCAACTCTTATACTGATGCAATGTTGCGCCCAACAGAAATCTAATAATCTTCATAATATAACACGCTGTGATCAGCGAAATAATTCATTGTCACCAGCAACTGGACATCGGAATCCCAGCGTCACTACAATCAAGTACTACAAAAAAATCGAAAGCGGGTGAACGTTCAAAAGGTTTAGAAAGAAGTACCCTCGAACCGATGACCAGCGACTTGATTATCTGCAACCTTAAAAACCTGGAAAGAAGTGTGCCGCAATCCATTAGTAGCACAATGGAAATTGTAAGCGGAGACCAGGGCGTGATGTTGTATGAATCTGCAATACGATAACATTGCCAGTGGACCGATTACAAGCGTCAGAGCACTTACGAGGGGTGGCAATGGCGATGATGAAGAGCCGGATAAGTGGTTGCCATTAGTACCCACGACTGCTGAATCCATGCCTGCCATTACGAAGCTTGCTACAATCCGCCCCCGAAGAGTCAAGGAATGTCACTACGAAGGACAGAAGCTAATTTTTTTTTTTTTACATCAAGTGAATCCACAAGATTGTGGATGAGAACTGCGCAACTTAGAGTACACGAAACCCAAGAGAGCTTGTTCGCAGAAAAGTCGAAAAGAAACCAGGTCGTGGGGCAAGACAAACGTCAAACCTGATTCCTGCCATGGAAAAACCTAAGTCATCTAAGCAATACACATAACTCGTCACAGCAAAGACTTCCCCATGTCCCAATGACGCTAATATATAATCCTCGCACTCTCAACAAATATGAAAATAAATAAATTAAATTAAAAATAAATGAAAGACTTCAACGAACACCAGCGCACAAAACAAAGACAAACGCAGCAATTAACGAATGTAGTATCCAAGCACTTGCCACTCGAACTTCGTGGAGATCCCAGCAACCATCATTCGCACACTCTTTCATGGCACAGTCCGACAAAATCTGACAAACCGCTACATACCTGAAGGAGATTCGGATTAAGGCATTGTTGATACAGACAGAGTGACATAGAAAAAACAAATCCATGAGACGAAATACCAATTGCGAAGGCATCCGGACACTATTGCAGGGTGTAGTGATAGAGAACGACCCAACAAAGGTGGTGCCGCGATTCTGCGCCATGGATGTATTGGAATTCCATCTGGCAGCAGATCGATGGCCATTGACGGTCGATGAATTCGGGCTTTCTGCCAACTTCGGACCCTACGCTGCAAACAAACGCACCTTTCCACATGCTTTCGTTTTACAGAAACAGAACATTCTCGTGCGCCATGCCTCCTCTTATTTCGAGGCCACTAATCTGCGAAACATCGAAAGGGCAAGACCCACGGCGGAGAATTATCAAATACCTCGTTGCCCTTGCCGCCATGTTAGCGAGTTAATTAGTCCGTTTGGGTGTAATTAAGCTTCTTAGTGAGTTTTGTGGTGGATGAATTCGGGCAGCCGTTTCTGACCGCCGGTCAGTTAAGAAAAACTATTGCTCGGTTCGTGTTCATCTCGTGCCATGTGTGAATAGGACAACTATTAGCTTTTACTTTATAAAACCCACCGACATACTCTTTCTATTTCTATTTCGTTTCTTTTTTCTTTATAACTTTGGTTCTTAACCCCCCATGAGGTGTAATTTTGTTTCAAGTGGGTTTCGTCTAAGTTTTTTATATTTTTAATTTTCCTTTTTTGTTGTGATATTATTCTTGACTCCACTTGAGTTATCCAATTCAAAACTTTGTCTTTAATATTCTCAACAATGAAAGGAATATAATCTTGAATGTTTTGAAGGTCTATTTCTTTGTGGATCCTATAGTTTGGAATTGTATATAAGGTTTGAATCTATGCTTAATCAATCATACCTTCATACGCAATGCTATGATCTAGATTATATGAAAGGAAAAGAATGATGTAGTTTTTATGAATATTTATTGGACTGGGTAGCAAATATGTACCTGCATTTGAGAGACCATTACTGACTTTACTAAAGCATCATGGTCAAACATTAAAACCAAATTAAAATGAAAATTGTTTGCATAGAAAAGTATTATCAAGTCATTTGATAGAACACAAATAATTTACTGTGAATTTGAATCTTTGCCCCAATTATTGGCTATACAACTTCTAGCCTCTCTTTTTGGCATTATTTTTTTATTTTGAGTATTCTAAAAATAATACTAAAATCAGGTTTTAAATTTCAAAATTAGAAAGATGGTAATTATTAAAAATTGGATAACTAGTTATTCAGGAATTTTTTAAATAAATATTTTAAAAATATGTTGCCAAAAGTTTATAGAATAAATTATGAAGAGTGTTTTAATAATAACCATATTAATCAGATCATATGAAGTATAATGGATATTGACATAAGAAGTTATATTTGAAATACTACCAAAAAAAAGTATTACAAAAAATAAAGCAGTGTTATAATATTTGAAAAAAGTATTTATAAAATAAAAATAAAAAAAATTTAATTCAATTTCCACTATAAATGGTCTTGAATTCTATAATCTAAATTAATAAAAATCTAAGGATTATAAGAGTTTAATATTGGAATTAAATTTCTATGTCCATATGTTTGTAACAATAGTCTAATATTATAATAATTACGTAAACCTTTCATTGTTTTTAATCTTGGCTAAAAACCATATATTTTGGAAGTCAATGTTTGTTGTTAAATTGTTAGAGTGTTTCCAAAAATAGAACCAATAAGAAAATAAATATTTAGCATTAACTTCTTCTATACTTTAGTTAATAAATTGACATTTAATCTTCTATCATATTCTTAGATAACTAGTGAAGAACTCATAAGATATTGTGCCAGACTCAACATAAAACTACGTCAAAGCATTGCTCATTTTACCAACTTAGTAGCACACAAATAGACTATTAAATTAAGACTTTTTATTTAAATAAAATAATATTTGGTCTAATTTATATTCTTTTAAAAGACTATGCTTATTTGGCTTATTTGGCACAAAGGTGTGGGAATTAACATTTGAAAGAGAAAAATCAAGCTTTATATTAATATTTATTGTATTATGTGTCACCTCCCAAAAGCAAAAATCTATTCTCTATAGATTCTAGAAATGCCATCAATCTTATAATATTTGGAATTAGGCCACTTTTCTTTTATATAAATTAATGTCAAACTCTTAGACATGAAAAAACTCTTGACTTAGAAATAAGCCACTTTTATTAATTCTATATTGTTAATACATAGATTAACATAAATATTGTTAAAGATTTGGTTATTATGAAGAAGATTGTTTATATAACACTTGGATTTAAAGAAACAAGTTTGTACTTGAAAATGAAGTATGGTGTAAAGTCCATAATAGAAGCTAGATTTGGAAAAAAAAAACAAAAAAAAAAAAAAAAACAAAACAAAAAACAAAAAACAAATTTAGACAAATTAGTTAAAATTTTCTCAAAAAGAAATTAACAATACACATATAACATAGATAGAATAGTATATAACATGTTCTAGATTGGACAAGATAACTAAATGGAACTTTAGGATATCTTAATATAGTGTGATTGTGTACAAAAGTATAAATGAATTAGTTCTAATACTTCTTACTTCTTCTTAATACTTTATCTCTGACTTTTGGATATAAGGAGTTAAGTAGCTTAGTGTACCTTTTCTACTTTATAATGCATTGAATATACTCTACTTGTATTTTGAAAATAAATAAACAATGTCATAGAAATTTTAAATATTTATTAAAATATTAGATTGGATTTATTATTGATATAACAAGTAATAAGTTGTCGTCAAATTGTGCCAAATATTGGAATCAATTCCTACTACCAATCCATCTAATTTTATATGTCTATATATATATATATATATATATATATATTAGAATTAAAATATTATATCATATTGCATATCTTTTTATGCAAAGAAATCTTTTGATTGGTTGCAAAGAAAGAAACATAGAAAACTTGAAGAACATGGAGAACATGGGAATGTATAAAAGAAAGGACATAGGAACAAAGAAGTTTGGATGAACAAAGAAATGGATGAATGTTCTAAAAAATACAATACCTAATAGGACAAGATTTTGCTAGTATATATATATATATATATATATATATATATTTCTTTTTTGAACTTAAAAAATCTTTATTATTCCTCAAATATTACAATCAATATAGAACTTATAAGTTGAAAGAATATCTACCCTAAAATTTAAAATAATTTAAATCAAATACTAAGAAGTATTAACAATATTTATGTTAATTTATTACTTCTTAAGTAACAGATTTGTTGAGTCTTGTATTTAAATAATAGTGTAAATAAAATATTCTTCTATAAAAAATGCAATAAAATATAATATTTTTTTATAGAAAAATAATTAGATCTATATAGAATGTGCTAGTATAAAACTAAGTATAAAGCTAGTAGATAGTGTTTTTTTAAATATTGTACTTAGTTTCAAAAGAAGTATTTGGTTTGTTATGTATAAAAATTAAAATCATAAGTGAATTAAAGTATAATTTATACAAAAAAGAAAAAAGAAATCTATATCGAAATTGCATAAAATATAGGTATTTATAAAAAATCAATCATTCTATATATATATATAATTTATATGATCAAGGAATTAATTTTAAAATTAAATTACAAAAAAAATAATCTATTTATTTTATGCCCTCTTTTTACTTTATGTTATCTCCAAAAGAAAAAAGAAAAAAGAAAAAAGTAATCTAACATAAAATTTAACTTCACTAAGCAAAGAAAAACCTCCGCAAATCTTTTCAACTATGACCTTTCAAAATGGTTTTCTAGATGTAAATACTAACTGAATTGGATTTTAATTGAAAATTAATTGTGTTTATAATATTGATATAAATTTTATTTTTATTTAAATTTTTACATCACACTATTTGGGGCTAGTTGAAGAGTTGTTCTTTTTCTTGAATCCACTGGAAAAACTTTTTAGTTATACCATCAAACCTACTCTTCCACCAAAACCTAATATTAATGTATTTTTTTCAAAGTTTCATACTTTCTAAATTTAACAATACACAATTGTGAATCACACTTTTTGTTGGTGTGACATATAGTCCAAAGAGGCATGCAAAGTTGCTGTGGCTAAGTATAGGTGGTCTTCAGGTGGTCTTCAGGTGGTCTTCCGGTGGTCTTCCGGTGACGCTTCTTACCTATATAAGTAAACAGTCAGAGAACTTACATTAATTATCCATGATTTTCATGTGTATTTATATCAAGATAAGGTGGTGAGCCTCTAAAATTGGGTAAGTCAGCCCTATCCAGAGAAGAAAGACTTCTTACTCAGTCAAATTATTACTTCACTTGATATCATAAATTTTACATTTTTCATGTTTATTAGAGCCGTCTGTTGTGGCTTTTTTTTTTTTTTTTTTTTTTTTTTTCCAATTTGAAAAAATTATTTAAGAAGAAAATTACTACAGAAATTTAATTTTTGAATTCATAAAATTATACACATTATGTTTATTAAAAAAACTCACAGTATGTATTTCATCTAAATTTTTTTCTTTTAAAACATGGTGAATTATATGTATACACATGCATGATCAAATTCTATCCAGATATGATTCTGTAATTAAGTAAACAAACATATTAGATTTCTGTCTAAGCTTTGGTTCTTTCAAAAGTCTTCATAATTTCCCATAAATTCTTTTTCAAATACTTTTAATGTTCAATATTTTATTTCACACACACACACACACACACACACATTTATATATATATATATATATATATATATAAGTTCTTGCCTCTATCATTGAATCTGTTCATGATAATATGTTGTTTGGTTATTAAGTTGGCTCTTTTATTTGAAGATCAACTTTAAGTATACCTTATTGAAAGAAAGAAAAAATAAAATAAAATAAAAATAAAACTAACAGAATTTAGTGTTAAATTAACTTATTGAATTTATCTCATTAAATCTAATTCTAGAAAAAAACACAAAAAATATATTTGATTTGAATCTTGAATTTTTTTTGTACCCGTGTATTTTTCACATTAAAATTACAGGTTAATATGTTATAATACTGTGTCGAGATGAAGATAATAATCCCTCTTAAAAACTTAGATGAAATATAATTTCAATTTTTTTT